TGCACACTTGTTGCATATAGGATACCTTACAGGTGCGGGCTTTTGCTGAAGCATTAGCTAGCTGTTTGGGAAGGGATTGGGTTTGGGTTTTTTCCTGGCAGTCTTGCTTTTCAAAAGTCAGGAGAAACTTCCTGGATTCAGACTGAATCCAAGAGGCAGAATTTCACCATTGACTCACTGGAGATTAATTTGAACTGTCTGAAAGCGTACTCCTTGGATGAGAGGACAGTGCTCGTTTAAAATGGTGAGTAACGCTGCTGCATTTGTGTGCTGGTAGGGGAGCTCCTCCGCCGGCGCTGGGTGCTGCGTGTGGCACAGGAGCCGCTTCCTGCAGCAAGGCAGCAGCTGTGCCAATGCCGCGGCGGGGGGTTTCTTCCCCCCATCCTTGCCCTGCCCAAAATGCCCGAGTACAGCTCAAGCCTGACGCTTGCAGACTGTGATTGCTGTTTGCAAGAGAAACACTTGCTCTTGTACTGACTTGGGCGGTTGTTCCTGCATTACTTTGACGCAGCAATAGTTTTAAACCGGCATCCGGTGCACGGCGAACCTCCTGCCGGGGTAATGCCTGCCGCTGGGTCAGGGCCCTCGTCTCTGTGAGCTCTTACCCTTTGCCCACCAACATTTCACTGGGGATTTTGGTTTTTTTTTCAAGTTGGTCATAAAACTGAATAGCGGCTTCATCCGTGCACTAACTGGCCAAATAATTCAGCTCCAGCTGTTTCCGGTAGATGTGTTTTCTTCCAGCCCTGTCTGTTTGCCCTGTTGGTGTCCCTTCAGGGGACCATCCCCTGCCTGCACTGCCTCGCCTCAGCCTGAGCACGTGCTCGGGAGAAATAAAAGATACTGGCTGTGTAGGCCAAGCTGATGAGCAAACGTCCAAGCAGCAGAAGTGCCCTGGGAGGGCTGGGGAGAGTTCCTTTGGATGCAAGGCCAGGTCCCAAAGGATGCTGCCACAGGCTCTGCTGCAAGACTGTGCTGTGGGACCGGAGCCCTGATGGGCTGGTGGCCTCCAAGAAGAAGGCCACCAAGGTTTAGTCGCTCAGGAGCAAGTGTCCCTTTGAGCTGGGTCCCGTGGGGCACAGGTGGGTGTCCCCAGGCCAACAGGCATGGGTGATGCCTTCGAAGTTAACCTTCAACGTTCAGAACGGGTCGTGACACCCGCGTGACAAGGTGCCTGAAAGCCTTAACACCTTTGTAAGCCACAGGTCCTCATTTTTAGCTATTTATTTATTTATTCCAAATTGCAGATCTTGAGCTAGGCTGTATGTTCAATTTCCTTTACTTTCCAGGGTGTGTGAAGAAGCTTAGGCCCAGAGTTTAATGAAGATGATGAAACTGATGTGTGGAAGTACACCACATACGCTACGTCAGAGCTGTGTTAGGAACAGTTTCAATGAACATCCAACTTCTTCGGATTGTCTTGGAAATTAGACTTGCATTCTCATCTGCTTTATTGTGTTTCTAGAAGCTGCGTTGGTACCGACTTGCACCAAAATATTACATTTTGGTGGGTGGATGAAGCATAATTTCTGTACTGAAATATTGAAGAACCTCATGTGAGACAATGTGTAATTATGTAATGGTCTCATCGAAGGCGTGTGGACTGGTCGGGTTTTGCAGAAGATTTTCAAGGTTGTATTGAGGAGAAAAGGTCCTTTGCGAACCGTGCCTATATTAGATGTAAATGTCACCAGTGTGCCGGGGAGAGCCGTGGTGGTTGCTACCTTGGTTAGCAGAGGCTGAGCGAAGCGTAGGGGACTGGGTTCCCCCTGCGTGGAGATCACATTGACCCAGATCTGCGGTCCCTGGGTTCAGGTCTCTGCCAATTGCTCAAGTGTTTCTGCAGCTGTATGCACAGTCTTCGGAGGATTTGGGGAGATGAATGCAGTAGGGCTGGCATGTTTGTGGGAGGAGGTGGAAGCCTATGGGCAAAGACACTGGGCTGCAGTAGGAGGAGTCTAATCAGCACTGTCTTGTACCTCAGCATGAGGCAGGATTTTGGCCATGTCACTCAGCCCTGAAAAGCCTTTGGGGCAGTAGTGCCCACTGCGAGCAGTAGATGGTGAAAGGGGCTTCAGCATTGTCCCCAATCTAGATGTCCCCGAGAGTGGAGGGTGCAGGCCAGCATCCGTAATCTGCTCCTCCCCTCGCCCCGCCCCGGGGGTGGGAGGGTTGAGAGGGCAGTGAGAGGGGCATCCAGGTCTGCGTACGGGATCTTGGTCTCCTGCCCTGAACCCTCTCTGGGAGGAGGGCCCAGATAAGCCATCTGGGTTGACTTGTAGGGCAGGTGCCATAGCAGAACCGATTTAGTCCATAGGGCTTTTGGAAAATATGTCATTGGGCCTTCCTCATCCTGGTTTTGTTTCGCACGTGTTGCCCGTGTGTTCCCCCCTGGTCAATCACTGTGGTTGTCTTGGTGGGACCACAGGGAACAGGGAGGCTCAGCCGGTGCCCACCGAGCGAGCACCCGTCCAGTGGCATGTCCGGGTGCCCAGCAAGATTTAGGTGGCCAGAGCTCCCTAGGTCCTCCCAAAACGGTGTGGGGCAGGCAGGCTGGAGAGCTTTTTATTATTGTTATTATTTATTATTACTATTTTTTTCAGTTTCTGGCTCTGCAAGAACCCCAAATGCTCTTAATGGCGATACGGCCCGTTTATATGTTAATTTTAAGCCTGCTGACAAGCGGTTTGCTTTTCTCCTGACTTCTCACGGTTCTTTTGCCCGTTGAAAGCCTCTGCCGTGGGCTTAGGGGATAAGGTGCCGAGAATTAGAAAATAAAATAAAATCTGCAGGATGCTGGAGAGCGAGGGGGTATGGGGATTGGCTTGCTCAAAGTACAAATGGGTGATTTCTGAAAGCCAGTAACCCTGATACCGGGGGGCGTGCATGACAATTACATCCAGTATAATACAAAATGTTAATTACTAAATTTTGAGAAATTAATGCTGATTAGCAGCTGCGTGTGTGTGACCTAAATACATCTACTGCTTGATCTTTATTCATAATATACAGTTTATTGTTGATAAAGTAATTGCTGAATGGTGGGCTGGCCCACAAGTCTCGTAGCTAAAGACTGAGGCCTGATTTGCCAAGCATCTGAAATTTGTTGGCATCTGTTTTTTGTTGAATTCATACAGACAAGGAAGATGAATAGCAGTCTGAGCTATCCCCTTTACAACTCAACTCATATATTATTGAGAATTCACATTGCTTTTATTATTTGGTCACAAAAATGGACCTAATGCTTGTTGGCTTTAAAACACCTACTGGCGCTGCTTTCTCTCTCCATCTTGCAAAATATAAGACAAGGCCGAAGCTTAAATTAAAATCCTCAGGTTCTTATCTCTTTCCCACAGGAAAGCAAATCTGTGTTGAAAACCGTAAAATTAAGAGGAGAGCAAGGATAGCATAATTTAGCAAAAATTCATGGCACCAGATTCTGAGCTATATGACTGGAGGGATAGGTCAGACATTAAGAAGATACTGCCTGCTAATGCAAGTTCCTTAAGGTGGTGCTCTGGAAACAAGGCAAGCAGAAAATGCTGCACTGGTTCCCATTTGCTCCCTTTCCTCTGCTCCTACCAGCCTTAACAATAAATTGAGTTGTCCATTTAATAACCCTTCTGCTTCTAGAAGTCCGGAGAAATCCTGGGTTTGTACTTGCACTATTGTCCTAACATCTGTTTGTGCCGGGATTTCAATAGTGAGCTCAAAGAAAATTAATTTCATTGAGCTTTTAAATTATTTTTTGATTTTCTTAATTCCTAGTATTTGACAGGCTGTCATTGCTGAGTTTTATTAGCATTTCTTTTTGAAGGACTATTGCTTTTTTTTTTTTGCCTGCCCCTCCCCTGCCTTTTTTTTAATTTTAATAAAAACCTGTTTGGGGCACAATTATTTTTGCTAAGGGGCAGGGTAGAGTGGCAGGGTACAAATGAATAGCGCCTGTTACACACTGGCATCATTGCTACGTCTCATCCTGCCGTGGGAAGAGTAACTTGTGTTTCAAGCAGCGTTAATACGGCCGCATTTTGTCAGGATGATCTTTCGGCCTTGATCCAAGAGCGTCATTTTGGGCAGCATCCCTCCGTCGCACTGAGTGCCCCCTCCTCCGCGCCTCTGTTGGGAAGGGCCCATGGGAAGTGTGTGTCTTGGCCTGCGTGGGCTTTGCTTTACGGCACCCATTTCGGGACCCTCTCGGGTGTTTGTAGCACTTCTGGCGTCTCCTTGGCGTGACGTGGTGAGAGGCCTGCCAGCCATCCCCGGGCGGTCAGCAGCTCTCCTCCCTAACTGACCCCTCTGAGAGGCCGCTGCCAACCGCTTATATATGAAATTAGGCTTTTAAGGGTGGCTTTTCAGTCACCTGCTGCCCAGACCAGGAGGTTTCAAGCGGAGTTTGTAAAATTGCCAGGGGAAAAGCCCGCCGTACCCTCTGGCAAGGCCGAGGGCTTGTCCCCGCTGCGCCATGCTGCGGTTGCGCAGGAGAGCAATGGAGAGGAGGAGTGAAGTCGATGATGCTTGTATTGCTCTTAAGGCTGGAGATGTGGCAACCTGCACCTAAAGCCTTTTTTTTTTGTTTGTTTGTTTTTTTTAAATGCTGATCCCGTAACCGAACGGTTTCTTCAGCGCTGCTGCTGGCTCTGCCGTCCTTCGGTCGCAGCCCTCGGTGTGCGGTGCCTGCCTGCCCGGCGTGCTGCTCCTCCGGCCGCCGCTTCCCTGGCCCCGTCTCCGTGTCTCCCAAACACCTTTCCTCCTGCTCCCGGCCCCACCCATTTCCCTGCATTTCCTCAATGCCCACATCCCTCCTCAGGCATCAGTGGTTCGAGGATGCTGATTCTGGCAGCAAACCTGGTTGCCGTCTGCCGGCCCCAGTGCTGTCCACCCTCCCTTCAGTAATACAAATACGTAAAAATTGCATTTTTTAAGTGCTTTTTTTTTTTTTTAAATGCAGAAGCCCCATCTCACTAACACAATTTAATTTTTTTTTTCTTCTCTTGCAGTCAAACAAGGTGCCAGTGGTACAGCCTTCTCATGCGGTTCACCCCCTCACCCCTCTTATCACCTACAGCGATGAGCACTTTTCCCCGGGGTCGCACCCGTCTCACATCCCCTCCGACGTCAGCTCCAAACAAGGTGAGCCCATCCTGTCCTGGCAGGGGTGCAGAGCAGTCCCAGTGGCCTCCATGCTGCTGATATGGCTTTATTCATAATATTTTAGAAGGAGGGTTCCAGGCGTGCATGCCTGCTTTCAGAGACAGTAATTCTGCCGTGATGCTGATATTTAACTTGGCTGTTTAAATCTTCATGCTCTCTTTCTAACGTGATAATTTGGGCTTGCTTTACTCATCAAAATCTTTTAAAATCTCAATAAGCAGCAGCCAGTCCTCACCATCCCCTGTTGTGCCCGAGGCTTGCAGCGTGCAGATGCAGAAACGGCAATCATTCCTCACCTTCCCGAAAACGGGGGAAGAGTTCTTCAGCAGTGATGTTATTGAAACCTTTTCTTTCTCCTGTTTACTCAAAATTCTATTTTGTGTCCTAGTATTCTGGCTGTCTGAATTCTTCCATACGCCAGTTGGCATAACTGAAGCGTAGCCCATAAAATACAGTTTTGAGCCTGCGCAGGTTGCAGCTTTGCAAACATGACATTTTTTAACCTTCTGGTGCCCACTGCCTTCTGCAGAAGGCATTGGTTTAGATGCCAGAGTCACGGGTGTCAGTTTTCTCTGTGCCCCTAGGACTCCTTAAAACAAACAAGCCCCCCAGATACTCATCTGGGAGCGTCAGACCAGCCCCGCTCCGGGTCAGTCTGTGGGTCCCCGGGGAAGCGCCGACAACCTCCGAGGCGCTGAGCCCAGCCTGCACCGAGAGCTCCCACCCAGCGCCCTGGCGAACCCTCCCCAGGAAACCCCTGGGTGCGTCTGCTTGCATTGGGATGCAGGAGCTGGGGGGATGTGATGGTTGTTGGGGGGTGCAAGGTGGGGGGGACTGATCCCGGATGGCGCAGGTCTGAGCTAGGGTTTGGGTAAGCAGCCTGAGGAGGAGAAGCCTGCGCAGGAGAACTGGTGGCAAGGAGGGAAGGGGAGGGAGCAGAGGGTTTACGAAGGCGTTCGCTGTAGTCAGGACATCAGTGCATGGGCGTGAAGTCTGTCGGTGCCGGGGCTGGAGGGTGCCTCTCCCCACCTCTTTCTGCACACACGTGTCCCGCCGTGTGGCGTGAACCTAGTTGACAAGTTCATGAAGCTCTGCTTTACCTGGGCACATGTCCACATGCACAGTTGTCCTGTTTATCTGGAGTCTGAAGAGGTATCTAGCCACCATCATTCAGGGAGAGAGACTTTTCTTAGTTCTGACTTCCCCTGAATGCCTAGTTTTTATTTTGGCCTTGCTCCGCAGATAATAACATGGACTACATCCAGAAAATACCACGGCCTTGTGGCTCTGTGTGTTTTTTGCTGTTGGTTAGTTGGTTGTCTCTTTTTTTTTTTTTTTATAGGGAGCAGGAATACAAAAAAACACTCTGCCTGGAAAGCCTGGCCTGTAAATACATGTATACTATCTTTTTCAGAGTTGGAAGAAGCAAATGGAGACCTCCTGTCCTCATTTGTCTTATTCCTTTGCATCAGTGCCTAGGAGAAGGATATTCATGCTCGTTCCTTGAAATCCCAGGGGTACCACCCATGTTAGAGTATGGGATTCCCACCTCTTGCCCAAGCTGGCTGTGACGGCTGTGGCACACCCCGCTGCTGCAGTCTGTGAGCTCAAGAGGTTTTCACTTACTGCGCAATGGGTTTGCCCTCCTGCACCCCAATTCTTTGCCTTTACCCCTGGTTTATTTTTGTAGTCCTCTCCTGCGGACCCAAAGTGAACATCTGGCTTGTTGTTTCTGCTGCCCGTCCTCCCTTCTGCCTCGTCTCGCCCTCTCCCCTGTTCCGCCCCAGCACATCTCACTGCTCACGTCCCCGTCCCCGGGCACAGTGCCGGAGAAGGGCTCTGCGGGGGGGCGGCCAGGGGCGTCTGGCACAGAGCTCGTGCCCCTCCACTGTTCCTGAATGGGCTCTCGATCCCTTTGCACAGTGTCTGCTGGAGATGGGGATGGATAACGCAGGCTGGAGACTTCTGGTTTTGGCTGTGACAGTCTCCTGGATGTGTGTGGTCTTTCCATGCTCCCCGTTTTGGCGCCGCTGGCGTGTGGAGCAGCCCCAGTGAAGTGGCCCATGCAGTTGCTGTGAAGAGAGGATTTTTTTCCCTCAGGTCCTCTGCCAAACGCCTCTGACCATTGTTTCTGTCCTTGCCTCCCACTGTGGGTCTGGAGTGAGGCCCTGCCCCAGTGCCCCAGCCCAGACGCTGGGGTGCCCTCCTCCTGCCGAAATCCCCCTGCGGGCAGGCAATGGGGGGGCTCACAGCAGCTTGCCCGCAGTGCTGCCTCTCGCACCCCAGGCATGTTGGGTTGGACACACAGCCACTGCCTTGCTAAAGGCGGTCACTTCTTTCTTCCCCTTTATTTTATTCTATTTTTTTCTTAACCCTCCCGTGAGCAAAAGCTTTCTTTGGAGAGCACTGGCCATGCGGTACCTGCATGTGTTCTGCTGGGTCTTAGGTAGCTGACAGCCCCTCAAAGGGGGCCACAAGTTTTGGACTAGCGATAACCACTGGGCGTTAGTGCAGAAAGAGCAGCATCATCTCCATGGGTCAGAAATGCGGATGCTGGGGAAGGAGCAGGCCAGCATCTTGTGCAGAACTTGGTCTGGCCGGGGCAAGGTCGTATCGTCACTCCCAGGAGCATCAACCATCACCAGAGATGAGAGAGATAAGAGGCTCAGCTCGCTTGGTTTTCCCCCTTTTTTTTTTTTTTTTTTTTTTTTTCTTTTGTAACCTGCTCTAAAAGAGCATTCCCACTCGCATAAAAACCCTGGAATATATAAAGTGTTCCCTCTCCTGTCAGCCACCAGCTGTTTTACACCTTTGAAAAGACAACTGGCCAAAAATGTGATCCTTGGGCTGTGGTCCCAAGTCTGAGAATTTAACTTTTTTGAGACAGTAACACCACCAGTATTGTTTTCCATCCTTTTCTGTGCACAATCCCGAAAGATATTCTTCAAATCTTATAATTAAATTCAGAAGATTTAAATACAAACTAGGTGGGGGAAATAAATCAGTAGCATCAATCTATAAACCAAGTCTCAAGGTAGCACACACTCACTCTTGGACCTTTGGAGTGTCACCACATAAATATTTAATGCCCTTTTAAAGCAGCTGATTTAACATGTGAAGTAGACTTAACAATTCCTTCTGCTTCAGCCCCCTCTTCCCCAAACACATTTAAATAAACCGATGTCTTTGTGGCCTCTGCAACTGTAATTCCATGTCTCCTGGGGCACGAGGTTTAGGTGAAGAATGGAGACCATGGACCCTTTTGGGACAAGGATTAGCTTTAATCTTGAGGTGATTCTTGCAGTTGTAGGACTCTGTGTTCTGGGGCATGTGAGCTGATGGATCATTTCTGATGGGACTCTTATTTTTCCACGGAATACTACCAATGGAAAACAGATTGACCTTGGAGCCCACAGGAGTCAACTTGATGAAGAGCTTAGTTGGAGCTGGAGTGACAATTGGAAGCCAAATGAATCATATCAAGTGTGACCATTACAGGCCTGAAAATGATTCTTAATTAACCACTGATCCTCTGTGGTAGCAAGTTTCCAAAATCTGTGAATCCATAAGGGAACCCACGAAAACGTACAAGTAGCAATTTACCTAATCTAATAGCTCTGCTGCGCTGCCTCTTTGACAATGCTTTATTTTCCTCTTGTTTCATGCTGTGTTGGAAGAGGTCCTCAGGATCCGATCAGGTTTGGTGAAACCACTGAGAGGACAGTATCACCTAATGCACTTTACGGGAGATCTGAACTTGTGCAGGCCCTTACCCCCATACATTTATTCCCTCCTTCCACTTTGTTTTTTCCCTTGGAACTGCAATATCATGTACAAGTTATTTATTATTTTAAAGATGGCATGGGTAGCCTTTTGCTTTTAATGCTAACCAAGAACATAGTTATTTCTGATCTAGAGCACTAATTCTGTCGTAGCATTGGCCATGTTAGCTGTGAACTGTAGCTCATGTGTAGTATTTTGAGGGGAAAGTCATTCATTCTTCTGTGCTCTTTAACAGGCATGTCCAGGCATCCTCCAGCTCCTGATCTCCCTACCTTCTATCCCTTGTCTCCAGGGGGGGTTGGACAGATAACACCACCTCTTGGCTGGTAAGATCTTTTGGCTTCTTTTCAGACAAAGGTGCATGTTCACGCTGTTCGCTGTTGTTGAATCAATTGCAGCATTTACAAAATAAGAGTGTTGCTGCAGTAAGAAATTACTACATTATTTTAGTTGAAAAGATCAAAAAATGTCGATCTTTGAAATGAATTGAATCTGGGTTTTGAACACATACAGAAATTGAAGTGTGTAGATTTCACTTTGAAGTCTATATATTTCTTATGGCTCAGATTTGTGGCTCTTGGCATTTGGAAAGATAGCAGAAAACAGTTCTCGAGGAATTAAATGTAAATTTTTAATAAACAGAATTACAGTTACTGAGGGGAGGGGAGAGGAGGTAAGAAGGAACTTTGAAGTGTGTGTGAGTGGGGAAATCTTGAAACTGCACCAAAATGGCAAATAAGCTTTTGTAGTCTGCTGCTTCTTACAGTTTCTATATGGAGAGAAGCCTCTGTCATTGGGCAGTTTTGCTGCTCTTGCTAATACTAGCCGTTTCAGGACCTTTCTCTGCCATTTAGGGTGTCATTTTCCTTTTGGAGGAAATGTGGTATTTTCAGAGTCTGCTTGGGGTAGATATGTACTTGCCCTCAGATCTGTTGGAGCAAGGAATAAGGAAACTCAGCAACAGTTTCAGTGCTTTAGAATCTGTATCTTGACTAATCTGTGCCCATGCAACGAGCAATGCAGTTGGGATTTTTTTTTTTTTTTAGTGTGTTTATGGGAGGGAAACATGATCCAGATGACAATAGGCATAGAAAGTAGAGAGCAGAAGATGGTGAAATGCTGTAATGCTGGCAAATCTTTCAGGAAGTGCCACATGCCTTTCTGGAACAAATTATTATAAGATACCAAACTAAAATATGGGAGTATCTGACTCTCTATTTCTTTTCTTATTTTTTCCCCCCTCCTCCCTGTTCGTTCCTGCTCAGCTGACTCCCCACCTCCACCACCACCAGGCAGTTCCTGGCATTCGTTTTCCAGATGTGGTCAATCATTTCTTTTGAATGGTTTCTCATTCAGAGGCTGGGGGGAGGGAAGAGGGAAAAGAGAAAGAAGAGGAGAGACAAGATCCGATCTTATAAGGCTTGGGGATGTGTTCAGCAGAGAGCTCACTGACAGCATGACGTACCCAGCCGTTCCTTATGCTATACGGCTTCCAGCTGCCTTCTGTGCGATAGCGCTGCTGAGACTTTCTCCACCTTTTTTGTTTTTTTTCCCTTCCCTTTGAGCACTGCTCATTTCCAGTAATGTACTTCAAGTGTGAAACCTGTATCCTGAACCTATTGGACCTCAATAAGGTCCAAACCTTATTGACATTACAAGGCCAATATCCCTTTTTTTCCCCTCTGAAAGCTGATCTGCCAGTCAATAAGTAACTGTTTGAATAGGATTGATGTGTGTGGTGGTCTTTCTGAGCTGGTTCAGGTATTTGGGCTGAGCTGGTGTTTGTTTGCCTTACCATAGCATGCTACTTCAGGGTGTTAATTGTAGTCACGACCTGAACCGTTGCTAACTGAAAGTAACCAAAATGTAGCGATGATGATAAAAACTAGAGATTCCAAATGACAGGGTGGTGACAAAATATTCCATATATGTGGGAGTATGAAGGCATTAAGAATTTCACACAAGCTACTTTTACTGGATTGCAAAGTTTGAACTTTAAGTAGTTAAGATGGACTTGTGTTGCTGTGGGCTTTTAGGTGGTTATGGGTTTTTTTATCAAATAAACTTCTACTTTCTTAGAAAAGCTGGCCACTTCTACCTCATTATAGAAGATGCAAATGGAGAGACTCCTAAGTTTTCAAAGACTTAATACAAGTGTTGAAAAGGTTTTCTATCTTGACAAGTCACAGTCTGGTGTTCTTGCACTGATCTACAGTAGAACTATTTGGAACAAAATGCCTCTTTCCTAAGAACTAGTTAACCAAATCTGATTCCAGTGCTTTTAAAATTAGGTGAGAGAGGGATAGAGATAGAGAGTGCATGCATGCCTCTGTGTGTGTGTGTGTTTGTGTGCGTGTGTGTTTGTGTGCATGTGAGCTTTGGGGGAGGAAGGCTGGTTGTTTTGCTTTCTTCCCCAGTGGAAACCCAGATTGGGAATCTTTCAGTAGCGAGGGAGAAAGTCCAAAGTGTTCAGGTATTCGTTAGCTTTGAATATAGCAGAACTCTTGAAAGTGTTACCTGTTACTATTTTTTGTGACTAGTACTGAGTTCCCATCAAGTGCTTGTAACTCTAGAGTAACTACTGAATACCTTATCGTATGATTGATGGGTTCCTTTCTTCTGTGACCTCAGGCAAGGTCAGCCTGTATATCCCATCTCGAGTGGATTCAGGCAGCCCTATCCATCCTCACTCTCAGTCGACCCTTCCATGTCCAGGTAGGTGTAGGAGGTGAATGACTGACCGGGGAGTAACTGCTGGCATTAGAGGGCAAGTTGCTCTTCTGCTTGCATCTTGGTCTGCCTTTGCTTGCTTTTCAGTCAGCTAAAACTTTATGCATACATTTTTATTTAACATATTTGTGTATATACAGTTTGCCTGGATCCCACACTGGTCTCATTCAGCATTTTCTTGGCAGTCTCTGAAGTATTGCAATTAGGAGCACTGGTGAATTGTCAACAATTAATTGAGCTGTTTCATCTGAAATGAGTCGTTAGTTCATTTCTAGATGCAATATATAGCGTGCATCCTTGGGTTTTGCTCATGCAAGTGTGCAACCAGGTGGATTGTCACTCTAGTCTGCGTTCTCTAGTTCTAATTTCAAAGTGGTTGGCAATTAGTGTTGAATCACGTAGGTATCACTCTGTGTGGAAACTTGCTCACAAGTAGGTATTTTGTAGCCCAAAGCCACTAATGGCAAGGGATGCCAGCACAGTGTGTTTGTACTGGTGTGTGAATCAGGCACTGTGTCTTTATGTCTAAGTGCAAGCAAGCAATGCTAACTGAGACTTGGCTGTGACACACTCCAGACCTCCTCTCCTCTGCTTTTGCACTATAAAGACAGCTTCTGCATCCTGTGCTTGGTGTACACAAGGTTGCAATATACCATTCTTGGGGTTTTTTTTGTGTGACCGGTAGAAGACACATCCTCTTGCACAGGGACTCAAGACAGTCCCCTTTATAAAGTGGTGGGTCCTCTTGCCTCTCTTTGTGTGGGCTCCTTTGGATTGTCACTGTCCCTTCACTTCTTTACAGGGGAATGATAAGCATATACCTGTCAGGGTGGTTGGGAAAAAAACCCATTCTTTCTCCATAATAAAATGACCCGATTTGGTTACAGGGCTTTGTGTTTGCTTTATTTTGATGGCATGAAGGAAAAGGGCAAGGTGACTAGGGAGTGGAGAAAGGAGAGGCTGGATGTGATTCCTTAACCAACATTCATTCCGCAAACCTTTGGAGCACGAGCTTGCTTTTGATGTTAATGGTACTTTCCACCAGTTCAAAATAAAGCATGCAGGTCTGCTGCTGTGCCTGAGCTTGCAATGCTCAGTGCCTTCAAGATCTGTCTCAGCTGTCCTTGAAGATGACCTGGGTTAGTAGAGCGGGATGATTGAGTTAGTGGTACTGTGGTTTTCTTTTCATTATCCTTCTTGTACAAATGAAAAGAAGGTTTATTCGGGACAAAAGTCTCTCCCTTCCCGCACCCCCTTCTTCCAGGATGCAGGATTTTTTTAGTTTATTTTTATTTTAAGCATTTGAGGGAAGGATAGTGAGTTTAGGTGAACTGATGTTAAAATCTTTCAGCTTAAGCACCTTGAGAAGTAAGAGATTTCTTAGAGAGCCATCAGGGACTTCTTGAAAATACTTCTTTTATTTTATTTGTTTCTGCATGGCAGTTCCCTCTTTTGCATTGGCTGGTGGTGGATATTTTAAGAATGTTTATATCTTGGTGTGGAAATACAGTTTTTGGTTAAGAAATGTGTATTTTTATTGCTAGTCAGTGCAACAGTACAACCATTAAATGTTTCTTGTGTGCATTGCTAAAACTGTTTGCCTGAAAGGTAATAAAATAACTTATTTACAAGCAAAATGTTGATTGATTTGTTTGTTTGCTTTTCTTGAATAAGTGGGCTACAATGCACAAATCTTAGCCAAATATTTTTCATGCACTCTTAAAGAGTTGTCTTCCATTGCAAGCTCCGTAGCGTTGCGTTCTTGGGGCATCCTGCTGCTGTCATACATGTTTGACACCTGTCTTCAGTAGGGTTACAGACCTTCCTTTGTTTTCTATTTTAGGTTTTCACATCACATGATTCCTGGTCCTCCAGGCCCTCACACAACTGGAATCCCTCACCCAGCTATTGTAACACCTCAAGTAAAACAAGAACATCCGCACAACGACAGTGAGCTAATGCATGTGTGAGTCTGCCTTTCTGCACTAGCCCTTAATCTATAAATGTTTGAGAACTAACTCTATCTGAAGAAGAGACAAGGACGTTAAAAAAAAAAAAAAAAGAAGAAGAAAAAAAGTGCCTTTCATGTCCTCTTTGAATTTTAACTCTTCTCCTGTAACTGAAGCGGGAGATGTGGGCTACTGTTTGGGAAGAGTAATGAGACATAAAGCCATTTCTCATTCCAGTCCTGCACTTTTTAGCTGTCAGCAACAGTCATCTTGATTCAGACATAATCATGGACCTGTCTGCCTGTGGATGTTGCTTGAGTGTGAACTCATGCACTTCTGCTGGAAAAGGTCTTAACTGCAAAATCTACTAGTAAGAAGCAGCCCTTCTGCTTAGACCTTGAAGGCAAAAGGCCTAAGAAGGAAGTGGATGAGGAACTATCCTCCTGCCTGTAGCAGTGGTCTTCTAGGGTACTATGGATAGCCATTCAAAAAGAATTGAGACAAGTGATGTATTTGGAGCAGATTCACAGATCAAATGTTATTTGCTAGAGAATGTCAACCTGACACCCTCCCTGAGTATTAAATTAAGTCAGTTCTCTGAAAAGATATGAAAGTGGATGGGGCATGACCACTGAAATTCTCATTATTACTACTTAAATGGTACTGTAACCACAGGTTGGTAATTTTCCGTTGGGGATTTTTTTAGGCTGAAGGTAAATGGATGCTTTTTTTCCCCTCCTTTCCCTTTCCCCCACCACGTTTTAGGAAGCCTCAGCATGAACAGAGAAAAGAACAAGAGCCAAAAAGACCTCATATTAAGAAACCTCTGAATGCTTTCATGTTGTACATGAAAGAAATGAGAGCGAACGTTGTAGCAGAGTGTACTCTGAAAGAAAGCGCAGCTATCAACCAGATTCTTGGCAGAAGGGTATGTACAGGAGGGTGTGTGTGTACTCACGTGTGCTGCTAATTTGTGTGTGTTTCCCTTTAGTTGGGTGTGATGGCTCAGTTTCTGCTTGAGGAGCTAACTAATGTGCAACCATTAAATTAGCTATACTAGATAAAACATGCAACTAAAAATAAAAGCAGTATCTTGATTTTCTTTTTTCAGCATTAGCAACATCATTAAATTGGTGTCTGTTCCACTTATGTCATGGTGTCAGCACCTCAGGCATGAAATACCCTCATTCACACATGGCAGGAGCATTCAGATCGCCTTCTGGGTCCTCCCTTAGGTTGGCATCCATCAGAGCAGGAGGGGATCATTCAAAGATGAACACTGGATACCAGTGGAGATGGAACTCAGAAGTGAATATGATGTTGTCCAATTGTAAAGTCATATAGGTTGGGAAGGACCCATGGAGGTCGTTTAGTCCAACACGTGCTCAAAGCAGGTCCAGTTACATCAGGTTGCTCAGGGACTTGTCCAGTCAAGTTTTGAATGTCTCTCAAGGTAACAGCGGAGTACTGATGATCCTGGTATATGTCCCAGAGCCTTGCTGAGAGCCATTTGCTTCTGTGGCATTGTAGGCATGTTTTGTCCTTTCCACGCTCCGAAAACAATATGCAGGCCAACCCACAATTACAAACTTCATGTTCACTGTCAGTGTTGTTCTTCCAAGGGAAAGCAGCAGAGGTGAATGCCCGTTTTGCCCTTGACTGTCCCAGAAATGAGAAAAGGGACCGGTTTTGTATCAGTCTGAGTTTGAGTAGGGATTATTCAAATCCCCTTGCTCAGTGAACCTCTCTTCTTGACCACTGACTAAGGCAAGATTGAGAGGCACTGCAACTCTCTGAAAACCTTGTGCTTTTTAAGTGGGAAGTCAGTACATGACCTTAACTGCTACTTCTCTGTTCCGATCTGAAGACTTCCCTCCCACCCCCAAAACAGAGCAGAAATCTATTGGTACTTGTCCCGGTTCCTGCAGCCTTCTGCCTTCTCTCTGATATTCTTGTTACCTCCTCTTAAAAGACATCTCAGTACTTGCCTTTTCCATTCTTTCATGCAAGTCTGTAGGATCATGTTTTCATGTTTTCTCACTCCCTCAGTAATCAATCTTAGTTGCTTAGTGTGTCAGCCTTGTTTTCCTGGCCTGAATGAGGGCAGTGGCTTATTTACCTCCATTTTGGTAATGAATCAAGCCTCAGTGCTCCATTGCCTGTTTTTTCCACAGCTTGGATGATTCCTTTCAAGTTACTGTTCTCCATGAAAGTACCTCAAATTCCACTTCCACTGTGGTACAAACAATGCCTGAGTTATCCAATATAATTGCTTGGAGATTAATTATTATCAAATGTTTTGTGTTCAGTCATCCTGGTCACTATTTACTATACCCTGTGCCACTCCAGAACAGGAATCACCTCTGTTCTCTAGAGCTGATGCTTTGCATGCTGCTGGGCTCTCTGATGCCACGGCATAATGTTTGCTACCTTCCAGTTTTGGAATGCACGTGTGGAGTTTGGGAGTTGCAAATAGGCTGAACTGCTGTGCTCTCAATAACACATTGAACTTGCCAAGTCAAGACAGAAAAGTGCTTTAGTTCACATCTTCTGATGTGTAACAAAATGACATATTAAATCATACAAATGTGATCTGATCTGAAATCTGAGTTCTGTAGATTATTTTTGCATGAGTGTCTTAAAGATTTCATGCCTGTCTTTTTTTTTTTCTTTGTTTTTTTTAATACCACCTTCTCCCCCCACTCCTCCATGCATGTTGTCAAAGTCAAATGAGAAGACATGTCTAATGCTGCAGCAGTGGAACCTGAGTCTAAATAAAAGGCCTTTACTCTTTTTGGTTCACATCTATGATAGGTGTTTCAACGAGAACAAAATGAGTAGATACTGCTGTAGCTGGTGCCTTTTCAAATGTGCAGGTTCTGAGGTGCTTTTTGTTTGGCTTTTTTTTTTTTAAGTATATAAAAGCAGGACGTTTATCCCTACTTGGCTACAGAGGTAACTGATGTCATTTGGAAGACTACAGTTCTGTGGTTTCTCTATCTTAGAAACTTTTTGCAGTTGCCATTTTCTTCTATTACAACAAGAGGAAATCAGAAAGCAGGTACCTTGAACCTCAATACTTAGAGGTTAATCTTGGAACAGGAGCCTGCTGGTGCCCTGAAAGCACTTTGTGTTGGCATTGAAAACCTATGCGTAGCTGCTGCTTAAAGACAAGACAGCAAACCCTTCTGTGGGGGAGAGTTTGCTGCCCTTTAAAGCAGCACAAAGCCTTTCTGTTTTGTTGGGAGCTAAAGGGTGCTTTTTGGTTGTTTGGGTGCGTTTGGGTTGGGTTTTTTGGTGTTGGTTTTGTTTTTGTTTTTTTTTTTTTTAAAGTAGTGTTGGGAGAGCATGGTTCTGTGAACAGATTATTTGGTGAGCCCTGTTTCCATAAATGATTTTTGTGTTGCTCAAGGCACTTGGCAGTTGCAGAGCTGACAAATGCTTGAAAGTTGGTTAATAAACACAGGTGCTTGTAATTGCTAATGAATTTCATTTTTGCAGTGGGGAAGGACTGAATCAAAGTCACAAAAACACTTGCTCATGTCATCCTTTGCCTAAGTATGAGTTATTTCCTAGTCTAATGCTATGTTTATTTTGTTTGCAGTGGCATGCTCTCTCCCGTGAAGAACAAGCGAAATATTATGAACTAGCTCGTAAAGAAAGGCAGCTACACATGCAGCTTTATCCAGGCTGGTCTGCAAGAGACAACTATGTAAGTTGCTCATTTGAAGGCTCTTTTTGAATTAACTTCCTTTACCTAACTTTTTTTTCTTTCTTCTTTTTCTCTTTAACTTGTGGAAAGTTCTGTATGGAGGGATGGTGAACAAACAGATAACATAAGCCTTATATTTGTTTGTGCTTCAAGCATCCAGAAAACTTGAGACTTTGTTGTTGTCGAGATGCTTCTTATGAAGGTCATAGTTTTTGAGGGGAAAAAATTATCATAGAAGGTTTTTTTTCTTAAGACTTTTTTTTCTTTTTTATTAATTGTCAGTACCATCTGAAAGCTTATGTTCTACTGTACAGCTGTGGATTTTCCATAATTTTCTATTTGATCACTTGCTATCTAGAAATCATCTTTAGACCTGAGCAAAAAAGGGGTGTCTTTCTCTCAGGAGCACTGAAAGCCCAGGGATCTTAATGCAAACTGAACTTTAGCTGAAGGTAACTCAGAATGTTCCATCTCTGAAATAAAGCCTGCAAAATTTGTATATGTAAACTTCATGATAGATTCTGCTTTTATACAGTTTGGTGAAGCTGAGAAGTTTTCTTACAATTACTCTTATTTTCTAATTAAATATCAGACAAGTGTGAATAACACGTTGCACAACTTGCACTGCACAATTGTACTATCATGCTTACAATGAGCTGTCAGTCTAGTCATATGTTATGTTATGAAACTCACAACCTGCAATTCTGAGAGACTGATCCAAACTTGAGATCTGGGCTCCTTTCCGTCCCCCCATCAGCTGTGACATTATTTCCTGTGATAGGAAGTGTACATGCTATATCTGGCTCGGTTTTCCATCAGTATTAGGTGGACGGTAGTATTTCTCTACTTCAGTGATGTCTTGTGGACATGAAAGAGTATGAGGCACCTAAATACAGTGTTAAGAGAAACTGTAGAAGTATCCCACATTTCCAATCCAGCACAGCTACTGTTCAGCTTAAACGAAATTGTCATTGTAAGCTAGAGTCTCTTAGGGAGATCTTTGGCACAGAAGGCATTGACACAGAAACTACGTGATCATCTCTGAAGAAAATACCTTGGTCTTGCTGACATCCATGCCCAGTTTTGTAAGCACAGACACTACTGTAAGCCCTAGCAGCTTGTTTCTGCCTGTTTTATACAGTCATCTTTCCTAGCAGATGAGCTGCCGTGACCTTGCGCAGGTAGGGTTTATTTCCAGTAACCAGAACGTGTCAACAGACCTGTCTTGAAATATACCTGGGAACAAATAGGGCCTTAGTGATATACTCCCTGAAAACAAAGGGATTTCAACTGTCTTGAACTTGCTGGAAGGTTTGCTGGAACTTTGCTGGCAAATCAAGCCACTTTGGAGCCTTGTTAGCTCACGCTTACTGGATGTCAGCCTTCAAGATTGTCGTCTGATGCTTGGTCATGTTGACTTTGAGAACCTGATGTGTTTTGCCACAGCCTACTGCCATATAGCACAAGCAGTGGACCTGCGGTTTCTTAAATGCCTTGATAGACACTTGGGAGTATGTAAGATGGCATGTATGAATTCTCTCTTTGATGTGCTTCCAACCTACATCTTGTGTGGAAGTATAGCTCTGACATACTCCAGTCCTATACGTTACAATGGAGAAGTCTGCTAGCTTCCTCTTGCAGTCCTTCTCTCTGCCTCTCCAGGAATGCAGATGCTTGTCATCTTTTTATTTTTTTTTTCTTTTTTCTCTTCATTTTTTCTAACTTGAGCAGTCAAAAAAATGAAATTGTATTTATTTAGCACACATATTACTGCACTATTTTGAAAGTTGGAAGTGTCTTCGGGGTAACTCTTCTGTTTCACATGGCTGAATTTCAGAAAACAGTACAATTAAAAAATATGTATTACTTGGTTTTAAGTCTCCTATTTTCATTTGCCTGATTATTCAGGATTTCAGAAATTTCAAGAAAATTTTAAGCATTACTATTCAGCTGTTGACAATACCTTTGTGCTTTTTATTATGGTTTTATTACTGACACCCAAATTAGTCCTGCAAAGTTGTGTGATAGTAACAAGGAGCACAGTGTTTTCATAATGTGGTAGCATCTGCATGTGCTGGAGTTGTCAGAAACTACCTCATTTGGGAATGCTGACAACTAGTTTTCAGCCCAGCCTTTTCCTTCTGTTCCTTCACTTCTGGTATCTCATAGATGGATGTCAGATCAGCTTTCAGTATGTTTTAGCACTTGAAGTCAGCCTGCCATAGAGAATAAAATATGATTTTCCTCACGTGATTTTTCCATGTTCACATCTGCACTGATGCAGAAGTATTGCCTTGGTGCCTAAGCGACAAACCATGTCACTGTGAATTTCCCAGAGCCCTTGAAATCTGCTTTCCAACTTCTAGTCTTGGTCCCGTATTTGGGAGCTCACTCGCAAGGCATGGCTCAGCCCTGTTGCCAGCCTCAGGATAAATAAGGACAAGAGCTTAAGAGTCAGACAGGCCCACACTGTCAGAGCAGACTGGAGACTACTTAAATTCACCTGCCTTAGCTTCACCGTAGCCTGTATGTGGGGCCCTCGCTGTCCATCAGTGAGCACTGCAGCGGATTGAGGTGGTTTCTCACATCACCTGCTGTGCATCCCGCCGCCTTGCAGAGCTAGCTAATGGAAAGATGTGTCCCTCCACCTCAGCCTTTCCAGCCTGTGGCCACCGTGCATGGACATGAGTTGGTGGCTGCCAGCTGTGCCGAGTGGGGTAACCTCTGGCTGGGGGGCAGAGGGATGGACAGCAGGCTGCAGTCCCGCTTACAGCAACTGCACCAGAGCTCCTCTGTTAGAGCCTGTCCTGGCAGCTTGAAGGTTTCTTTAAAATATAAATGGATATGATTTTTTGTTTGTTTGTTTTAGAACAAAAAAAAGCTTTGACTGACAATACAGGACAATAAAGAGAAATCATATGGAGGAATATCAAAGTGGTAATTAGGGTGATGCAAGATGATTGAGGTTTAAAATTGTGGGTCTACACTGACCTTTTGTTTCCTGAAAGACTGTGCGAACCGGGAGCTCCAGCCTTTTCCCTAGATGGGGGTGCAGGAGAAGGCCGAGTGTGTGGGTTGGCACGATGAGCCTGTGCCGGCACGCTGGTGCCAGTGTGGTTCCAAGAAAGACAGCTGCCAGGCGTCCATTTCTGTGCACCTCGGTCACATTAAGGGTGCCCTGCTGCACAGCAGTCCGCTTATTGCACGGCGCGTTCTGCGGGCACAGCCATACGAGACTTGGCTTTTGTTAAGGTACGAGCGTTATCAGAACAGTTTTAGTTGGCTGGTTTGCAACCTAGGGACAAGTCATGGTCGTCCTAGGTACTTTCAACACCCTGTCTGCTGTTGCCATGTATGTCAGCGTAAGTATCTGAATGAGTGAAGAGTTCTTGTAAGAGCCATAAATTATTATATCAACATATGTGTCATCAGATTATTAAGCATGAGAATTCTTTTAGATGCTTGCGGCTGCCAGCATTACTTGAAAAACTGCCAGAAATTGTAATTCCACGTGGATATAAAAATGTGTATTGCTCATGTGTATGTTTCTCCATAGATGCTGAGAGCAAACCCTGTTACCATTGGAACAGTTGGAAGTGGGTTAGAAAAGGTTTTAGCTACCCTGAAAACAAATGTTTTTTTTCCTTTCTCGGTGTCCAGATGGCTTTTGTTTCTATGCTGTGAGGTGGGGGGAGCGACAAAAAAAAAGTTCTGTGCATGTAATGGTACAGTAAAATTTCCTGTTTTTCAGGGGAAGAAAAAGAAGAGGAAGAGAGAAAAGTTGCAGGAATCAGCATCAGGTAGGCCATGACCAACTCTTACTTACCATTCACCTCAGGTATATTTTAGAAACCAGGGCTTACGCTATTTAATTTTTACATCCTTTTCTCTAACACTTGCTTCTAATGGATGTTTTAAGATACTTCACTTGGAATGCAAGCTTGTGAAAATGCACACAATACATGTCTCCTTTCTGTTACACCTTTCCATGCAGCAGTCCTGATGGCATCAACACCTTTGGCTGAACTTACGCATTGCTGCAATCACTGTCGTGCTTTACCTTTGCTTTTCTCTTCAGTTGATGTTGTATCATCCTTAGACTTAACGATGTCTCAAGTATTGTGTGGGATTGTTGGACACTGGAAACTTTACACTCACCTTTTTGTAGCCACTGTGTTTTTTATCACTGTATTTTACATTTCTGTGTACACTAACAGCTGCCTAGTAGGTTGGCTAAAAGCATCAGTGAGGTCTCCTCTTTGCCTGTAAAATATAGACAAAGAAACACCCTGTTTTCCCCAACAAAAATGGCTGGTATAAGAACCATAAAAAAAACAAGCAAAAAAACCAAAAACACACCAAAAAAATCCATGTAATATTGTAGCAAACAAACTTATTTGGAATGTGCAAAAACTCTGTAACAGAAATTTGTTAAAGGAAAACAATCTTCTACAGGTACAGGCCCCAGAATGACAGCTGCCTACATCTGAAGCATGGTAAGAATATCTCTAAAGCTTTCCTGATGATAAAACTGAACTGTAAAATAAGCTTTCTTATAAATTTTATGCAATAATATGAATTTAGCAAAAATTGCATAAGTATCATATCCCAAAGCTAATGTTACTTTGACTACTGATGGTTTTTATACCGGCTATCTATTAGGTGTTCACCATTTCACTTCTTAACCTTAATATTTTCAAATTGACCATACCTCACTGACTCGCTGCAAGTCTGCCTGTGAAGCACAGGGATGGGTTTATTAAGCAGTGCAAACCCTCCCAGCCAGCAGACTGTCACAGTTCATAAGAGCAGGTTAGACGCTGGCTTCAGAGTACATTTTATGTGCTGACATCTACAAGATGCTGGCTGGCTGGGTCCACCTTTTTGAAATTTATTCACCTGTATACTAACAAAACATCTGCTAAGAAAATGGGACTATTTCAGTTATATCAAGAATTTCTCCCTCAGCTGTACAGTGGTATTTCATGTGTGGTGCGGGTTGGTTTTTTTTGTTGTTGTTGTATTTCCAGCATGTGTGTTCCTATCATATCATCTGCACTGAAGGTGGAATGACTAGTGATTGCACATATCCCGTAACACCATCTAGTCTGCGTGTGAGTGCACACAGTACCGCCATGAGATCCTCATTTCTCAGTGTTTGTGTTGGAAGGCTGGTCCTTCTCTTCCTCTCAGTGTGATACATTTTCTAGTAGAAATGGTGTTCATTTGACATAATAGTTGCTTCTACACTGCCTAATTAACCCAGACTGCTCTCGGGAGACCCCTGAGAATTCCAGGAACCATGCAAAACACCAATGCTTTCTAAACTCACCTATGCATTATAACAGAAATGGGCTCTTTATTGCCTCTCCCTCTGCTTTGTTTGGCCACATGATCCCCTTGGCACTCAGCGTGGTCAGCAAAGCGGCCTCCTGTTGGCCCTCTGCTCTGCTTGGACTTTCAGCCAGAGAAAGCCAAGTTACGTTTGCTCTGTGCAGTGCGTCAGTTGTCAGTCAGTCAGCGTGATTCAAGCCTCTTCCGCAGTTATGCCATTATGCTGGTTAGTCTAAACTTGGTTGGGTTTAAGACGTTGGGTGGGTTTTTTTAAAGCTGAAGTAAAATGAAAAGGCAAAATGCATGCTCTTTTTTTCTTCCTGCTAACCAAAAGTTTTGCAGGCAAGCAGACAGTCTTGCCCTTTGCAATATGCCTGAGTCATGCTGATTTTGGATGTGGATTACAGTATTTGGGTTCTGTAGCCTACACAACAAAAGTAGCTGTAAAGTATTGTTAGTTACAGTGACTGCCATTAAGTATTATACCTATTAAAACAACAAAAAAAAAAAGGCAAGTGCTTTAATCTTGAGGTTTATAATTGGTATTTCAGCTAGTTGCCCAGGCCCGTGATTATTGTATTTTTCCTTTTGATGTTTACACAGTACCAAATAAGCAAAACACACGTAATTTTATCTGAATTGTCACAGAGCACTCGATTAGGATCAGAATACAACTAAGGTTCAAGTGACAGTTAAAAACTGGGGGATATTTGGTTTCTTGGATGCCTTACAATCTAAGGATGACTGCCTTGCCTACACGGAACTACTTTTGTTGGAGTTTCTCCGTTTGCATTTTCCATAGTAGAGGATGAGTTGAAATAGAAGAGGATGAATGCTCTGAGTATGTGGGTTTTCTCTTTCCTTTTTACCTCTACAACCCTTCCTTCCTCCCTCCCTCCCTCCCTCCCTCCCTTCCTTCCCTTCCCTTAAGCTCTGTAACAGCGTGGAGACTGTTGGTAATACCTGTGTCTCTGTCCTCGTGCAATTTATAACACGGAGTATGAGAACAGTAGGTATCTTCTTCCACTGAAGGGGGAGTGTGCTGTTGACTCCATATATGCGCATGTAGGCAGCCTCACTAAATGTTGCGTGCCGAGTAAACGCTCTCCGCTGGAGACGTACAGATGTGCTCTAGCTGGAAGTAAATGTGCAGAATGATTTAGGGAACCTGAATCAGCCAGACTTCAAAGTAAACTTCTGAAGGTTAAGACTCTTGCCCTTTGCAAGCCTAATCCAAAGAATGTTTTGCCCACAAGCGTAATACCTTACCAGGCCCAGAGCAGAGCTGTTGTAGTCTTTACTGGATGGAGATAATAAGTTTGGGAATGCCTTTCAGTGAGTGCTGCAACGAGCTCTTGAAGACAGGAAAACGCTAGCTTTCTTACTTGTACGGATGGTGCAAGGAAGAAGGGGAAGGAGGGTGGGAGGTCTGGGAAGGAGACAAGCGTTCTGTTATCTGAGAAGAATCAGAAATGAGTAGGTGGCAAGACCAAAGAAAGAATCTCAAGATCAGCACAAAGGAGATCAGCCAGGGCTGTAATTACGGTGATGTAAGTGAGAAGGATGAAATGGTGGGAGGGTTGTGTGGTGGGATGTTCAGAGGAAAGTAACGGAAGAGACATGCAAACAGAAATGATTTAAGATACTGTGAAAGTTTTGGGTGGTTTGTGTGTTGGTTTGGTTTTTTTTTTTTTTTTACCATGAACACTTCAGCACACAACTGATTTTTAAGGTGGACCTCTAACCTGCTTTTTTGCTTGGACATCATTTGAGCGGTCAAGTCAAGGTGGTAGCGTTAAGTTGCTCCTCTTCCCAGGGTTGTACACAGCAGCAGGCTTCTTATGGCTTCACTGCTTAGGATTTAGCTGAGTTCCACAATCTCCTCCAGCCTGCTGAATGACCAATTTGTAAAACACTTTAATATTAGAGTGCTTTAGGAATACTGTGATCCGGTGCTCCAGTGTTTGGTAAATTATCCTGGGGTACTCCAAAGCATGTCGCCATTCTTTAAGTGTTGTGGCACTGTCCCCAAGTAGGATTTTGTTTTCAGTTGAAATGGCCCAGCACAATGTTTGAAATAAAAGTTATTTGTTGAAGAAATAACTCATATTTATTCTCTCCTTTTGAAATCAACCGAGAGTGGCACAAGACCTGATAATGCTAAAAATTAGTTTGGGAGAGGCCAGGGGAAATGAGGAAAGCTAAGATTAAGGACAATGTAGAGATCACCTGTTGAGCACCTTTCAGAAAGGTGGGTGTTTTGTTACTTTAAGCACAACCTTCTAGAAGACTTGTAAATGGGAGCAATTCTGTGTTGGAAGTGGAGATTCCTGATTTCCTCTCCGATTTGACTTTTGGAAAGAAAAAAAAAGCTGATTTTTAGCATCTCATGAGTATTTTTAAATCAGCAAGGAAATAGAAGGGTACTAATGAAAATTCCTCCTGATCGTTCCCCAACATGGAAATGGTTAACTTCTTATGACTTGCTATGTACAGTAATTGTAAAAGGCACATCATTTGACATATGGCAGGATGCAATTGGGAAGTCCTCACAAGCTACATAATTTAACATTGTGTTTTGGCATATCTTCAAGGGCTAAAAAGAGTGATAGAGAAGCTTAATAGACATTTGAAAACCTGTGAAAACTATATTTGTGGCTTGCAAAATTCCATGGCAATTAGCATTTAGATTAGCAAAGCTTTCAAAAATAAGAAAACTTGACTAATACTGATTTACAATCAGAAGCACTTAAAAGGATCAGATTAAGACTGTTTAACTTTAAACAACGAATCATCTATAATGTTTTGAACTTCCTAAATGGAAATTAGAGCCAAATCTCACTGCAGAAGTGATTTTTGGATAGTGTTGTAACAAACAATTTATGACCAGATTATCTTTTCCTCATTACTTAGAAATAAAATGCAGTGAGGCTGTGAAAGCAGACTGTAAAGTGGACCAATCTACAGCCAGAATACTGTGGAAAAGGACTGTCTGATGATTGTGGTCAAGGTTGACCATGGGTTTCTGGCCAGCATCCTAGAAAGGAGATGCAAATAGGATGTGGTACCTAGCTTTCTGAGGCACATGTTTTCTAACCTGGCTTGTCCAATGCTCTTGACATTGCTGCTGGACTAGTTGAAAATGAAGCAAACGCTCCACCCCTTTCCATACCTCTTGACTGCTCGGAAGCTTTAAACAGAGCCTGGAGGATTTGCGCAGAAGTTAGCCTGTGTGAGAATTTGTGTGGTGATTGTGGTGCAGCGACATGTCCTGATTTGCTTTAAAAACTGTTTCCTCTGTGACCCATGTTTCCCTATTCCCTATTTTGCCTATGGATGGTGGCCTTCAGCGTAGGCAAGACAGACGGAATGAACAGAAGAGAATTTGCTGGATTGAAACATTTATATTATTGAATGCTTTGGTTAACTTCAGCCTTTTTCAGGTAGCCATAGAAACTTGCAATGA